ACACGTTTAAGGCATAAAGGTACCTGATCCTTACGAGAAATGATAATAATAATAACTATAATAATAATGATTATAATGATAATGATAATAATAATAAAAAAAGATAGAAAAAAAGGATAAGGCGAATGAGATGAAAGGTGCTTAAATAAAATCAATATAGACAAAACAGATTTGTCCCCTACTAAACTAATCAGAGATAGCACCTTGAAGTTTGATTTATAGATTTTAGAATTAGTATATAATTTGAAATTTGGATTATAGATTGAATTTTAGATTATGAATTTTGAGATTGTTGAAATTTGATATTGAGATTGTTGAAATTTTAAGATTATAATTTGATTTAGTTTGAAATTAAAAGTTTTGATAATTGTTTTGGGTGACACATCTTGCAGTTATAGTGTGCCGAAATCTTTTTAAAGCTGTTTTTTTTTTGCAAGTTTAAATTTTTGGATAATAAGAAAAATATGTCGTTATGATGCTGAAATTTTATTAAAACCTACTAATTTTAAGAATTTAATTAATAAGAATTAATTATATTAATAGAAAGAAAATTAAAAATTAATTATAAACATTATGAGTGCAACAATAAAAAAATAACTTGTTCATAAAATTTGATAAAACTTATAAAATTGAAACATGAAGTGTTAAACTTTCTTTATGAACGTGATTATATAGTCATAAGAAAACATGAAGTATGATTAGATGTGTTATTGTTTTTATAGTCAAGATGCCAATTGACAAGAGTTGGATACATATGAAAAGTCGGTTGTCTAATTAGTATTGGGAAGGGTTGTCTGCATTTTTCAACATTGTCAAAGACTATGTTGATGAAAGTGATTGTACAAGTTGTCCGTGTCGGAGGTGTTTAAACCATAAGTGTTTTCCAATAGAAACAGTTAGAGCACACATACACCAATATGGTTTCAATACTTTATATACGACATGGTATTACCATGGCGAAGACGATGTTGCGACCAATCTAATAAATGAATCAGTTGACGAGATGGTTGCAGTTATACATTATGTTGTTAGAAATAACTCTGATCATGATATGCCGGATGAAGTAGAAGCTGAGGTGTTAGGTGATGCGCACCACGATGAATTTAAAGAGTTGTTATCTGAGCTCGAATCGACATTGTATCCAGGGTGTACTAAGTATTCGTCATTGAATTTTTTGGTGAAACTCATGCATTTAAAGGTGTTGTACAAATGGCCCAATGAGTGTATGAACTCTGTTTTGAAGCTGTTGAAAGATGCATTTCCTGAAAGGATTAAACTTTTAGATTCGTATTACAAGGCGAAGACAAAATTGGGTAAACTCTGTTTAGGCGACAAAACAATACATGTTTGTAAGTATGATTGTGCGTTATTCTAGAAGGAGAATGTTGATCTACAGGTTTCTCCAGTATGTAACACCAGTCGTTGGAAGAATAAAAAAACAAAAAGTAAAAAAGTACCTTAGAAAGTATTACAGTATTTTCTTTTGAAGGATCGATTGAGGCATCTGTATAGCTCACATCACACTGCAAAGGAAATGACGTGGCACATGTGGGGGTGTTTAAAGGATCCAGACTTAATGCGTCATCCAGTTGATGGTAGGGAGTAGAGAGATTTAGATATGAAGTATCCTGAATTCGCTCGTGAACCAAGAAACGTTCGATTAGATTTAGCTACTGATGGTTTTAATCCTTTCAAAAGCATGAGCTTATCATATAGTATGTGGCCGGTGGTTCTTATTGCTTACAATTTACCTCCTTAGTTATGCACTCAGGATCCATACAAGATGTTGACACTATTGATTCCCAGCCGAAATGCCCCTGGAAAGGATATTGATGTATTTTTACGACCACTTGTTGATGAACTTAAAGAGTTGTGGGAAGAAGGAATCATTATTAGAGATGGAGTCGACCATGAAGCCAGTAAATGTTACAAGGACTAGAAGACTACCTTGCACAGACACTTCCAGAAGATGGGAGGGGCAGAAAATGAGAATTTTGTCAGGCAAAATCCTCCTAAAAACCTGAGGAGAAAAGAGCAATGGGGACCTTGTTGTGATCGTTTTACATCCTTTACTTTTTAGGTTCAATTTCATTATGTCTTCTTACTTTTGATTAATTGGTTTATTTAATTATTAAGTATGTTACTAATTCATCTATGATCATTACTAGAAAAAATCTGCTACAAATCAACAAAACCGTGGCAGTCAAAAGTGGTCTAGCTTCCATGGTAGAAAGTCATACTCTCAGCATCGTTTTGATAAGGTAATACTAATTTGCATACTTGTTAAGTTTTTGTCACTTTGTCTTAATAATTATTCTAACACGTTCAACTTGATTAGGCAAATCCCGAGACCCAGGAGCTAAGATCATTAATTGACAATTGGGGTGATATGCACCATCATGGGCAGAATTTAATCAATCCGGATGCGGAACAGGCATTTGTAAGTAAATTTTAAACTTATTTCTTTTTTCATATTTAACATAACATATTATACTATTTTTATTTCATTTACCTTTACAGGCTCAGATGGAGGTGAAAAGAGCCACACAGATGACACAGTCTACTGGGGAAGATTCATCCACGGCGGTCAATAAGGAGGGGATTATGTCCCAAGTCTTGGGCAAGCGCAAAGGACACACTAAGGGAATGGGACCGACACTGCCACAGAGGAATCGTTCAAGCGCTTCCACCTCATCATTTGCTTCGCAATCGGACGGGTCATCTTTGGTTAATTTGCCCTAGCATGTCCAAACTGTCTGAACAACCTCTACATTGAGCAATGCAACATGTTCGACAACCAGCAGATCATGATGGAAGTAATGTGCTCGATGAATCCCAACATCAACTTCTTGCCAGTTAACCGTCCCCAACCGTTGGTTCCTCCACAGCCTAAGCAAAACGAAGAAGACGAGGATGAGGATGACGATGTTGCTAATTTAGGAGATTAAAATATATGTTTTTATTTTTCTTATTATCAATACCTTTTAATTTCTTGATTAATTTACTTTTTAAGACTTATTTTATTATTGTGTTGACTATTTTATATCAATCTTTTATTAACAAATATCAATTTTATTGTTTTATTTTATTATTAAATTTTCTTCTAATTTATATATTTAATAATTAATATTATTAGGAAAGTACGGCAAAAAAAATAATTTTTGCGACGACAAATTTAAAATGTCGTCGCAAATAGTTTACATTACTAGCGACGACACTTTATATTTGTCGTCACAAAATGTTTTAAAAACTTTTGCGACGACATTTGTCGTTGCAAATAATTTAGGATACGTCATCATCAATGACAGGTTCGACAGAACATTCGTGACGACTTATTTGCGACGACCGTCGTCGCTAATGTATTAGAGATGACATCTTAAAATTCTGTCGTCGTAAATATATTATTTGTGTCTAGTTTTTTATGACGACTAATTTACGACGATATGTCATCGTAAATATAATATTTCCGATGACAATATAGTTATTTGTGACGACATTTCGTCGTCGCAAATAAGCTTTTTTATTGTAGTATAATGAGTCTGAGAAGTATACTATAATCTTCTTCTTTATTATGATGAACTATAACAACGGCTAAAAGTAAACGTAACGTTTACTTTGAAGGTGACACTGTAATTTCTTGTATGTACGTTCTTGTTTCATTGCTTTTCTTTTATGATTTTATTGCTCTTGGTAGCAAGGATTACGACATCTAATTCTTACCCTAAATAGTAATTTTTAGTGGTAAAACATTTCTAATTTATATGATCCATCCAAGTAAAGCATAAAGCTATATATGATCCAAATTTAAACAATTTATATAGTTAACAACGTTGCTAACACTTAAATATTGTAATGTGTTTTGTTGAAAAAAAATATATTTAAATTCAGGAAGGATTATTCTCTTGTTTAAATTTATGTTGTGGATGGTTTATTCGCATCGAGCATTATGCTTTCCTTTGTTTTCTTTTCTTTTTCTATTTCCTTT